GGGGGTCAGGGACATGGAACACCCCCAGCACACCCAAAGCCAGACCTTGAGCTCTTCTCAAAATGTTCTTTTGGGATTCCCCAAGGACAGGAGATGGGAGGGTGGCCAGGGCTCTGTCACTTGTCCTGTGAGTGCCAGGCAGGGTGTCCCCAAAGGGTCTGGGGGTGTCTGAGCTCACCGGGGAGTTGTGACCCTATTGCTTCTGTCACCTGCTGCAAGTTCCCCCATAAAATCCCCCCTATTTCCAMCCCTACAGGGTGGAACAACATCCCAGGGACCCCAGCCCCGCTCCCGTGTCCCCTGTCCCTACCTGTGCTCCTCCGGGGACTGACTCGGGGACGCCCACTTGAACCCCGCGTCCTGCRGCAAAGGAAGAGCCATCAGCGGGTGACACCCGAGGGGACACCCACCCRCTGCGGGGACAACCCCAAACCAAACCGGCACCGAACCAGAACCAGCCGGGTGCCCCCCGGGCATAACGGGGCTTTGATCGGGGCTCAAAGGCACCCTCAGAGCTCGCCCCGCGCTCGCCCCACGCTTTGACGTCAACCGCGCCGCACCCACCCCACGCCACGCTCCGAGGGGCCCCGGCACAGAGSGGGCCCTGTTTTGGTCACAAAGTCGGGTTTTTTTCATGTAAAATCCACCCCCCCGCACCCCCGGCGCGGACAATGTCGCTGTTGTGGCAGGCGCAGAGGCGTGGGAGGATGGAGGGACCGGCCGGGCACGACAGGACCCTCACRGCGGGGCAGGAGGTGACAGCGCTGTCCCCAAATGCCCCTCTGAGCTCCGGGCARTGGCACATGGCGTGTCGTGGTGGCAGCGGTTCCCTGTGCGCTCTGCCACGTGGGTGTCACCAAGTGTCACCACCGACGGTCCAAAACGGTGCAAAACCACCAGAATCGGGGGGTGTTCACCACGGGGAAAGCCGCCGCCTGTCACGCTGAGCACAGTGACACCACAGTGACGGGAAGGGAATGTCCTGGACCCCCTCAGGGACATCCCTGGTGGTGGCCTTGGCCGGTGAGAGGCAGCCAGGCCCCCGTGCGTGGCKGCGGCAGCGCAGCCGCTTCTGCTCCGGATGTCGGCTCCGCTTTCGCTTCCCCACAAGGCTCAGGAAGCACCACGGGGCCGGGGGGAGCGCCAGGGCGGTGTCGGTCCCACAGTGCCACCGCAGAGGGGCTCCTTCAGGGGGTTCGGGTTCCGCCAAAGCAGAGTTTGGGGTGCTCGGTGAGCTGTCCCTGAGCCCCGTGTCCCGTAATTCTCGCAGGACTTTGGGGTCACGGCTGTCCCAGTGACAGGGACACCAACAGCGGGGTGAGGGGCTGGCCCTGTGCCCAAATGGGGCAGGGCAGGACACGGAGGGGCACCASGACAGGATGTGGGGTTTGGGGGAACACTGGGAAAAAAAACCTGAGGGAATGTGGGGAGTGACCTGAACAGGACGTGGAGCTCGGGGTTAAAATTAGAGTGGGGGTCCGGGGATTAACACCGCGGCAGAGAGCGGGGAGGATCCGGGACAGGATGTGACGCCTGGGGGGACAACATGGAGCGGGACGGGGACACTGGGAAGATGCTGCKGCAGGATGGGACGGGGCTGAGGAGTCGCCGGGAGAGGACAAGAGGCTGCGAGCGGTCACCGGGGGCAGGATCGGACCCTCGGGGCTGGACGGGGGACACGAGGAAAGTTCGGGCGGGTCCCCGGCGCAGGACGGGGGGACCTCGGGGCAGGAGAAGAGCCCAGAAGACAACGGAGTGGACCCGCAGGGCGCGGGAGGGGGACACCGCTCAGCCCCGCTGTCCCTGCAGTGTCCCCGCAGCCCCGTTACCGTTCGCGGCCCCCGCCGGTCCCGGTGCACAACCGGGGAGCAGCGGGGCGGCTCCCCCCGTTCCCCCCGCAGCCCTACCTTGCGCACTCGGGGCAGGGTCCCACCGGCCGCCGCCAGCGCCCGGTAAAGCTCGGCGGGCCCGGGACGCTCCGGAGCCGCCACCGGCGGTTCCTCATCGTCCTTCGGCCGGAGCCGCCGCCGYCGCCGCCGCCGCAGGGTCATGGCCGGGCCGGGCCGTCCCGAGCGCCGCTATATGGACCCTGAGGGCGGCGACATCGAGGGACGCGCCCCTTCGGCACCCAAACCGCGCCCAGCTGGGCGTTAAACCGCGGGCGTTTTGGAGATAAACCACG